TGACTTAGTGCTGATGTTATTTTCTGTTGTCCTAACCAGTTGATTGGTAACAGGCTCCATAGATGCAAGACCACTGGAAGTAGGCAGCCGATTGTGCGGTCCTCTTGACGTTTTAGGGTGGTAGTGAGTGTCCCTTATCGACCGAGTTTATTTTAACAGTAATGATAGGTCCATTGAGTTACCTGTCTACTTCAAGTGAAGAAATGGGGTGGAAAAAGTAATTAATACAACTGCAAAGTAGGAAAAATAAGGCAAACTGAACTTGAAGTCCATTTGGTTCTAGACATGGAGAGAGCCTATGATGACTGAGTGGGGTGCAGATGTGTTCGTACGTGCAAGATTAGTGCAAGTGAGGGATTGATCAAGCAGTTTTACAAACGTATGTAATTCATCTGCCATGCGAGTTTCGGAGGGAAGACTGTTCCATATTATTGCATACTTGGTGAGGAAGAAGTTTTCCCGAGTTTTTGATCTGTATTTCTCAACTTTGACCGTAGATACTTTGTTTCGAAGTCCGTATTCATGTGAATCTCGGGCAAGAATTATCTTACACGTTGAATAAGTAAGGTTTTTGAGTAGTTTGAAGTAGAGAATCAAATTAGACCTAAGCCTTCTCTTCCAAAGGGGTGCTATTCCTAAGATTTGGCATCGGGAACTATAGTCAATGACCAAGTCAGTCTTAATTACCTTGCGAGTGAAGTCTCGTTGTATTCCTTCCACCTTTAGTATATCAGATACGCGTAGGTTGGAAAATAAGAACGAGCAGTATTCAGCGATAGGTCTTACACAAACTCAGCTCCTTTCTGAATCTCCTCCATTTGTCTGTTGTATGTACACTCATACCTTGTTAACACTTATTTTCTTTAACCTGTTAAAATGCTCTTTCTTAGCAAATACCTTAACAAAAGAAAATTAGACTGAGTAATCATACCTTAAACATTCCTTCATGAATATTGGTTACTCTGCCTCTCGTTCTTTCGTTTACTTGCTCTCTCTTTCAGCCCCCTTGTGATATGGTACGAAAGATTTCATCCTGCACTATCCTCAAAGCCTTAGACATTCCAAAGGGACATAAGGTTGCGACATTTAGAAGCTCCCACCTTCAACGGACCTATCCTTGACCATCAGATATACATTCGCAACACGACTTTCATGAAGCGCGCCAACTGTGGTACTGATTAAAACCATCTACATTCATATCTTATAAATTATCAACCAAGCTATGTAGTTTACTATAGTGGATATTGTATTGTAACAGTCATAGAAGGACTCATTGCGAGTGTTAAGAGTCTCACTGAGGCTGTCGCCAGAATGCAAATTGGTTATAGAAACGTGAGCAGGTCACCACAACGACCACGATCCAAGTCCCAAAAAAGGTCACAAATGTCCAGACAATCTGGGCAGTTTTGTTGGTACCACTGGACGTTTGGTGTCAACTCAACCAAGTGCATGCAACCATGCGCCTGGTTTAAGCATAATTCCAAGACAGCGAAAAACGAGTAACCTCTCCCCAGGTCGCGACAACTGAGGAGGGGCGCCTAAACAGTCGCTTGTTTTATGTTAGAGACAGAAACTCTGGCTTGAATTTCTTGGTAGATACTGGCGCTGCTCTTAGCATCATCCCTCGAAATAAAACTGAAATTAGTCAAGAAACATCCCCGATTACACTTCAAGCTGCAAATAAAACTAAAATCGCGACATTTGGGCAGAAAACATTAACTCTAGATTTGGGGTTCAGGAGGTAATTCCCTTGGGTTTTCACGGTAGACGACTTAGATCTGGCAATACTGGGGATGGACTTTCTAGAGAAATACGAATTTCTAGTTGACACCAAGAAACGGCGTTTAACACTAAGAGAAACTTCGTATTACACAAAAGGCAAAGAGAGCCACATCAGATCTCTTAACTTGATGCAAACTCCTCCAATAACAATAGCAAAATTCCAAGATATACTCGCTGAATTTTCAAACTTAACTAGACCGAACCCACAGACTTCTAAAGACAAACTAAAAGTAAGTCACACTACAAAACCGAAGGTTAACCGGTGTTTGCAAAACCCAGGAGACTAGCATCAGATAAGCTCAAAATCGCTAGGGCCGAGTTTGATTATATGCTACAATTGGGTATTATCCGTCCCTTTGTTAGTCAATGGGCATCCCCTTTGCATATGGTCCCAAAGAAGAATGAAGGTGACTAGCGACCGTGCGGGGATTACAGAGCCCTCAACCGTCAAACCGTACCAGATAGGTACCCAATACCGCATATCCAAGATTTCACAAACGGTTTACAGATATTCCACAGTCTCACACTCTCTTGAAAGCACGCAACAAACCGTCAGCGATAGTTGTAGAAGAAATCACATGCTACAAAATAAGATGACAAGCTAGTAAATGAATAGACATCCATTGACTATCGTTGACAGCTGACAGCGTTAGTTGCCGCTGATTGTAAGTCAAACATTGAGCGAGTTGATAATTTTCCCTTGGGATGAGAAATAGAACTAAGGTGTTTTTGATAGATAGGTTAATCGAACCGACGTTCCTACGGAAGTCGATTCTAGGGAGAAGCTAATGTAACAGCATAGGTTGGTTGGTTAAGAGTTGACCCCAAACAACCAAGCATATGCCGAAACAGTATTGTTCAAGTATTCATTCACTTCCTTATTTTGTATAAGCATTATATTCCCTATTATCTTATATTGAATGTTGAAAGCCTTAGTTTGTCTGAACATATAATTCCACGCTCCACTGTGACTGCGCTAAGATCGAAATAAAGACCAATTCACTACTTGTCCGGTTTCTTCTATCAATAGCACGAGGGTTACCTATAGGCACGAAAGTACCAATTTGATCTTGCCTGTAAACTGGCATGCCTCATGTAACAAACTGTTATTTGAGAATAAATTATTATTATTTTTATTACACATCAATGTCCTTGACTATGAGAAGACGTTTGACAGCGTGGATAGCAAAACATTATGGTAACGTCTTCGACACCATGGTGTACCTGAGAAGATCGTCATCGTTATCCGGAACTCATACGACGGACCACAGTGCAAAGTCGTGCATGGAGAACAGCTGACAGACGCATTCCAAGTAAGGATCGGAGTCAAACAAGACTGCTTACTCTCCCCCAATCTTATGGGTTGTGAAGACCTTCACATCTCAGAGGAAGCACGATATACATTGGACAGTTCGGAGTCAATTAGAATATTTGAACTTCGCAGATGACCTGGCCCTTCTATCCTATACACACAAACAAATGCAGACGAAAATAGCTAGTGTAGCAGTAGTAGTGCTTAACATACACAAGGGAAAAGGCATGATCCCCAAGTACAAAATGGAGGACAAACCGAATAATTATTGATGAGGAAACTGGAAGAAATGGATACTTTCACATACGCAGACGGCATCATCGATGAACAAGAAAGATCCGATGCACACATAAAGGTTAAGATTGGTAAAGCAAGGGCTATAATTATATATTTGAAGAATATATGGGACTCAAAATAAACCAATATCAAAGTGAGGATCTCCAATACGTACGTCAAGACAGTTCTACTGTACGGAGCTGGAACGTGCGGAACTACCACAACCATCATCAAATATGTTCGAGTATTTATAACTAGTTTTCTACACAAGATACTCAATGTCTTTTGACCTGATAGCATCAGCGCCAACTTACTGTGGGAGAGGACGAACCAGGTTCCAACTGTAGAGGAAATAAAGTAAAAACGTTAGAAGTGGATAGGACATATATTACGGAAATCTCATACACATAGTTCCCTTTATCATTTTGAAAAGAATGAGGACAAACATTCCAGCAGAATAGCATGAATACATTTTATTTCGTAGATTCTTGTCAGCCGCTTACAAGCTGTGATATTCAAAATCATAATTACATAATGGGTTTAAATTATTTACATGATAGGTTTAGCTGGATGTTACGGAAATCCTGAAACTACACCGCGAGGTAACCCCCAACTTTGGAATCCTGAAAGGAAACGGAAAAGAGGAAGGCCACGAACACACTGGGCTGAGAACTGGTGGCAGACATGAAAAGGATGAAAAGCAACTGGAATGGATCGTCCATGACAGAGTTTGATGGAGAACGTCGGTGGGTGGCCTATGTTCCTCCATGAGGGGTAACAAGCGTAAATTCTGTGAGGTTTGTTTAACCGTTTAAGAAAATCAGTTTAGAGTTGAAATTTAGTACACAACACAAGGTTGGTTTGTTTCGTATTTTAAGATTTATTACCTGTCTTATATCACTTGGCTGAACATGATGAGTTACAAGCTCTAAAGTTGAGTTTTAAGCTGTTAAATGATGGATGTCTCCGAACCGATCAACTACTACTTCCAATGAAGTTGCCCTGACAATGTAATAATATTGACGTTCAACCAAATCGTTCGTCTAGGTTTTTGTCAAACGATGGCTCACTAAACACTGAACTAGCCAACGAAATTTTTCAAAGACAGCAAAAAAGGGTTAATCAATTGTAATCCATGACGCAGTTCATTCGCCAGTGTTCTTGCTCTGCATATCTCTCGTCTGTACTTTCTAATAAGCAACTTTACAATTCTGGTAAAGTTTCGTTTGTTGTTTTGCAGTCACTAAATTATTAAGATTATATGGATACCATTACGGAGTAACCCAAACTAAGCACAAACTACGATATGCATGTTCAATTCAAGAGTAAGATATCACATATTTCCCGTTCTACTCAAGTGCGTTCACCACCAATTAGTGGTCTACAATCAGAAAATCCGAAAAATTCCGCTAATTGTGTGGTCATCTCAAGCTGATAATAATGATTCTTGTACAAAAGTGGCTCACACGGCACTAAGAGACATGAGCCTTTAATATAAGGAAAAATTGTGATGAACCAGGGCACTGGGAAGGATATACCAGTGGCCACTTGGGATCGAAAACTTTCTCACACTATGATGATTCAATTTTGGAAACAAGCTAGCGTTATTTAAAAGTAAACGAAATTAAGTAACTGATTTAACAGTATAAGCTAACTAGACTGTTTCACAATCTATACTTTTTCAAGAATGTATAGTGAGCCTTCTCTGATTTACAACATTTTTCGTGACGATAGTTCGTGGATCATCAAGTCATCAGATATCACTTAGGCCAGCATGTATTATGTGACCCACAATTTTTTTGTATTGATTAATAAACCACCTTGATGTTGCGTACTATTTTGAATATTTTACGTAATGATGTGGGGTTAGTGTATTATTTATTGAATATATATGTCGTAAAATGACTTTGTACTCTTTTTTAAAGCTTTTAAGAGCTGAAATATATTGAAAATAAATCTATTCATAGGTTTGATAGCGGCATATTTTCAAAAACATCACTAAAGTGTCGGTATGTGCAAGCATATGTATGCCGATGGTCGAAATCAAATATCGAACAATATTTTTATGTTCTTGAAGCATATAAGAGCCCACGAAGTATCATTCGAAGAGTATGGGAAATGATTTTTACCTTAGCATTTTACATATCAAATGAAAGTAACGAATGCTGTATTTAATACATTTTTACAAATCATGGAGATGTAACGCCAACTCACTCATCATTGTATTTTTAATAAACGCCAGTTTTTGTCGAAGTGTTGTTTTTACAGCTGCTCGATTACCATCAAAGTAGGAACAGAATTTCCTGAATATAGGTTTACTTTGATAATGTACTGAAAAAATACGCCTCTATCACTCTTATTTATAAAGGTCATTTGATTATTTTTATGAAAATCGTTTCTTCAGGCTTTTGCTTTTTTGTATCCTGTACTAAAAAGCTGTGCACCAAGTGAATCTTAAACCAAATAGTTCATGTAAATAATTTATTTTAGATTTGTGTATTTAGGACATAAGGCCTACAGCCCATGTTATTCTTTTTCAAGTATGCTTCTATGAGTGTCTAGTCTTTTCTCAAATAATTCATTTGGAGGTGAGGATATCACTGTTTTAGGTAACAAGTTCCAAGAATCGATTACTCGCCTTCATGTCTACCCTCCATATGTTAAGAAGGGCCGGTGTCACTGTCTGACACACCGTCTCATCTGCAGACTTAAATAAGATGACTGCATAATTAAATATCATCAGAGGTGGGGGGGGGGAAGTATAGATGGAATCTCTGCCTAAATAGCCCACTGTGTGACATAACACCTGGTGTTGTTATATTGAATGCTGCATTCTATAAATACTACTGTTTGCTTTCTTAGTAAGCCCCTTAATTTGATAAAAATTAACATTCGGTGTTCACAAACACCAAGAAAATAAGCATGAATGATGTGTGATGACCTTTACGAGTGAAACAAATGTTCAGGTTCCGCTTTACTTTGAAAATGGAGATAAATGTCCTTATTCACGTAGTTGAGAGATCATAAAGCAATTCGCAGGAAAATATTAACTCATATCCAGAAAATAAAGGTTTACCAGCGACATCAATACTGTGTTTAGTAAAGAATGTTTTCACTTCATACATTGCTGCCAGAAATAAAATTCTCAGCATATTTTATTTAACAGTGGAACGTGTGGTCTTGATAAACGAACTGTTTTTATTTTCCTATAAAATGTTTTTATAGTCTGTCTGAAGGCAGTAGTTCGTTCGGAAACTGTAAATCTTACGTAGTGCAGAATGTAAACGGTTTAATAGGCAGGTACGACGAATTAACTAGAAATTAGAGATTGCTACAGAAATTGTAGATAAAGCAAATATTGAAGTAAATACAGGAAACTTTGAATCAATAAAGATAATGTTTTAAAGCAAGTGCCGAACTCTAGAATATTACGCTTACTCATAAGTTTAAGATTTTTGTCTTCGTATAGTTGGAGGCTTAACTCGGTACATACCAGAGCCATTGTGAACAAAAGGCAATTTAACAGTATGCGTGCTTATAAAATATGCCACGATGTGTCGAAAATTCTAAGTATGCAATACATTTACGTCTCAATATGTATATTTAGATATCTTATTTAGGCAGAGACCACACGCTTCAAACCGGCATATTACTCGAGGTTTATTTGATTACTGTAGAAGACTAATCAAATTCACTGTTCGAAATATGCCTAAAGCGCCATACTGACACACATTTTTATCAAGGCTTATTGCGTAGAAAACAATAAGATAAGAAACCATCACTATAGCTGAGCAGAGAATATTATCCGTTGAGAGATATACAAAGGTGCATTTAGGTATTACTCACATACTGCTGTTTTCAACTGGATGTTTAGTTTTATTGCACTAAATTACTTAGTGTCTTCTCTATGTGTTTTCAAATCATAAATATTATTACTCGATTTACTTTGGGAGTGGCATATCTTATATTATGTTTGTTATATGAAATGAACTTTTGTACTGCAAATTATGGTTTTACGGCAATTGTTGATAAGTGCATGACAGGACTGATTTACATGATGAAGGTGTAATATTTTGTTTGTCAAGATGGTAAGCAAGGTTCAGACCTTTCTTTTTACTGTCGTCGGATCTGATCATTATTAAGTTTTCACGAAACGATAGCTCTTGACGTTTGAATAATTATCGTCTGTTTTAACATCAACGATGCAAGTGGAAATGATTTGCTTATATTGGTGGAAAAGAAAGAAACCACGAAGGAATTTATTGTTCATTAAGACAATTTGTTAGCATATTATATTAGGCTATCAATATTATTCAAGATATTTAAAGTAGCCAAAATTAAATTTTTGTCAGGAAGAAAAAATAATATACAAACAAATAAACGATGAATAGATTTCACTCAAAATGTTTAAATTGATCTGTAAATGGATGAAGATTTCATTTCATGGTTATAATCAATATTTTCTATTTCAAACTAACTTAAAGCTTTTAAATATGTTGACCTGTTCATTTAAAATAATGGCGATGTTTAACATGAAAACATACATTTCGGTGAATTTCGTGTAATATTATGTGATGTACTGGGGTTCAGTAATCCCTGAAATAAGGTGTCATATGTTGATAATTATTATGAAATATTGCAGTGTATTTTGCAATGCTAAGATTTCGAACGTTGTTAGATCCGATGTCATATATTTAGTTATCCACTAGTGGTTGTCTCTTGGGGTAGTGTTATCTGAAGACTTTAGTTAAAGGTTAAAACAACTTGATGCTAAGAGGCACTAGGATATTAAAATTCCGTTTTTTAATTGCATGTTCATATTCCTGTTTAGTTGATTTATTTGTTGTTAAACTTAATAAAATCACCATCGATATTTACATTCCACGAAATATTCAGTTGTCAAAAAAATATATCCCAGGGAACACTTTCGTTTCTTAAAATTCTACAAGTTAATTTTTGGGTGAGATACGATAAAGATGAACTCCTTTCACCTTAGCTTCGTTATAAAGTCCTCTAAAATACATTAAAAATAATGAAGCATAGTGTAAATAATATGCAAGAATTACAGTGGATATGAGGTATGAAATACAACACTAGTCAAAATAGAATTGAATTACTCCATTTTTCCAAGATTATGAGGTTTATGACGTATATAGTGTAGGGATCATATAGATACCACTGTTATGTGTAGTGATTAGAAGTTTATTTTGGAACTATGATAAAGTTTTTGTGGAGGTTTTCTAAGTGGTTTTAATTGATTTGGTTACATATAAATGTGTGCAGTACCAAGAACAGTTTTTCATTGTGAATAAATATGACGTTTTACTCTTAGCTCGACTAGTTAGTTGACACAAAAATGTATACACATTCATATGATTTCAAACTAACCCGTTTCTTATTGCATTAAATACATAGTATTAAGTAATAGACATGTCACTATATATAGAACGTTAAATCCAATTTTCATAAACTTTTAAGTTGATTGATTTTCATAGGCGCAAGCATGAACGGAATTATCCATATTCTGTTTTATTTTTAATTGTTTTGTTTAAGCATATATCATTTACGTCGTTTCGATAAAAATATACTCATTTTATGTTACAGTTAAATATTTCATTATTAATCCAAGTACTATATGTATTTGTGTTTGTCTTCGTTGATTTGTTGTATTTACTGATGTCACTGATATTCAGGACTAAATTTTTAAATAGGGAAACTGCGTGGAGAACATAATTTCCGCCACCGTCTAAATATGCCAAAGATAACTGAATGTTATCATTAAACAGTTTGTAAGAAATTTAAAATATTTCATCTCTTTTTGTTTTTCAGCCATATACAGTAACAAGATTTATTATTATTATATTACACTGAGTTATTCGATTGAACGTAGTTAAAGACGCATTCCGATGCGAGTTGCTGATCAGCATTCTCGATGCATTAATAATCGATCTCACCCACGTTCCTGTACTTCAGAATGCAGACAACGTGACAAGGATCTGGAAGAAGTAGGTATTCAGAATATGTTTTTTGTAAGACGTTTGAAGCGTTCAACCAAATGTTTCTATCGTAAAACCTTAATAATAGTCTATGTAATTTCTATATGAACTCTTGCATTATTTTGACAATGGATCATTTATCAAAGTTAATAATCTAACACTGAAAAACGTTTTAAATATTTTGTTCATTTTAAACATAATATATGGGTAAGTTCTAGTCAAAAAAATATCAACGCTTTTCAGTATTCAAATTTATTCCCTCTATATGAATCTATATGAAATATAAGCTATTTTGGTCGACCAAAGTATTTTATGTAGAGTAACGCAAGAATAGTGAGGGCGTTTTGTTCACCCACAAGTATTTAACTATTCTAGAAAAATCCTGAGATCTTTGCTATTTTTATTATTACTCAGTCATGTATCTGATTTTACTATAGCAATGTTTAATAACAACACAATGACTTATTAATTTTGATAATCAACATCCAAGTTCGTGTTCAAATTAGAGAATATGAACATCTTTTTACTTTCTCGACTGTGGTCATTCACGGCAATTATCTGGATTGGCCGATAGATGGGGAATATTTTTTATCCTGATATTTTATTCGACATAAGCGTCGAAAATAGTGATCACTTAATTTAATTCAATTACAAAAATGAATGAACAGGTAAATCATTACTATTGTTATTAGCAAATAACACACATAATGCTCAAGTCAATGAAATGACTAGAGTGGTCTTTGGAGTGCATTTCTCGATGTCATGTGAACAGGATTTCAGTTTGGGGATTTAAAATGGTTCAAAAATGTATTTTTTTATTTCTGCACAAATCTATAAGTCCATATTGATATATGTGTATTGTCACATGATATATATATATACGTATAAAAACATATTTCGGGACTCAAAATGTAATTTTTTAGGCTCGTTCACGTGCTACTCAACTTGAAAAAACGATGAGATGGTGGTCAGATTGTACAGCTAGCTGGAGAGAGAAATGGGCATCATTACGTGACGAGAGAAATTATCTACGAGAGAAATTGAGTTCAACACAAAAATCTTTAGATGATGCAACGGAAATTATAGAGACGTTAAAATTGGAAAAACAACAATTACTTGAAGATCTTTATCCATCGAATAATCAACTTCATAAATATAACTCTATTTCAACTATGAAATCTACCATTAATTTAATTTGTTCAATGAAACAAGAATCTAGTCAATCAGGAATAACAGAATCGAATGCAGATCAAAATATGTGCGGTATGTGATTTTGTTGTGTTTGTTTCATATCTAACAAACTTGTATTATTTTGCCAAAATAATTGCATATGAATGAATAGGTTGTTAACTTTAATGTTCAGTAAGAAAAATTGCGTACTACATACATAATATTTAATTATCAAGTTGGGAAGTGAAAATAACAACCGAACTGCTTTCGAAGGCATTACCATGCTTATTCATGTAAATGGTTTTGTACCATGGGTTAACATAAATAAAGGATTGCTGAATAGTAAAAAGTACTAGAGAACTGTAACGCTCTAGTTTGAAACTGCTCTACAGAGGATTTCTTCTTTTCACGATCCACAATCAGAAAAATCTGGGTCTTGCATTGACCATGATGTTATTTGTACGCTGAGTCGAAGTCTAGAAGTTCACTTTTCCGAATACTCATCGACTTGTAATATGATACAAGTATTGTGCTGTGCTATCGGTAGACATTTGTCTTTACTTCCAACCAGTTTTAGAAAAGGAGTTTTCCTATGTTTTTGCTGAGCGATCGAATTATACTTTGATAGCTCAAAGAACTCAAGGTTTTGAGTTAAAATCGGTTTGGCAGCCATTAGGATAAAGTTCTAAGGAGTCCCTAATTTGCATAAATTTACCTAAACTTCCCTTAGGTTTTTGTATATCTTCAATTAGTCCGCGATAAAATTTACTGTCATATGATATATAACGATATAAGCCCACTGAATTATAAAATGTAGCATTAGCCATGATGTCTTCACACTGTTAGAGAAACCGTAACCAAACACGTCCTGGCTATTAGTAGCACGCTGGTTCAATCTCAAAAAGAACTGAAGTTTTGTCATATTAGTAATTTTCAAAGGTAATCGAAATACACTTTAAAATAATTTAAGTTTATGTAAACTATCTGATATCATGATAAAAATTAAACTAGAAAATCTCGATAAATTCACTCGATTTTCGATAGCTTCAATAAACTGGTTTTATGATCACGTGTGATTTTCTTTTCAATAAAACAAGCGCACACACTTTGTTTAAAAATTCGATGTCTGTCCAAATTGATCGGAGAGAATGATTCATTGGAAACCCTATTAGATCACTACTTATAACAAATCTCTTCCCAGTATAACATTTTGATTTCATTCTCTCTTAATTTTGAGTGAAATTATTCAAGTATTTTTATTTTGTTGCTTTATATTTCAATTATTATTCACTCAGGGTTTCACTCTAAAATCAATTGCCAACAGATTTGTACAGTAATGTTAGTGATCAAATTTCAATTTGAGCAAGAATAGCACAATTTGTCATAAAATAAATTATTTGTTTTTTATGGCCTGTCATCAAAAGAAAGCGATCTAAACGAGCTACATAGTTAGAAGTAAAAGTTTAGGAAACCCTAGTTAATTAAGCTGGAGAAAAAGTTTGAAGGGAAGATGAAAAGGTAGTGAAAAGCATGAAAACAATGTTACTCAGTGTAATTAAGATTAGAACATGTTTATGTAATGGGTGAAATTTATTTAGTTTGATTTTCCTTATCAAGACAAAGGCAGGTTGACTGTATCTTTCTACTGTATACACTAATCTAGTTAGAAATATTTGATGACAATGAGCCCTGTAAGGTATACTTGATGTTTGTGTATTATTTCTAAAACCTTGATGAAATTCGCTCTAGTCCAATAACGATAAAGTACCTGATGATGGTACTTATAAAGTTATTGTTTTATTTCAGTTATGGGTCTCAATATTCATGTTCAGAAAAACTTCCACAACCTTTTTGATTAGTTTCGTCTGAATACTGCTTTCACAATTACATGAAAGTTCACAAATTTAACTGGTGGTAGTTTAAGAAAAGCATTGATCCACTTTTAATTCATTTAATGAATATTTGGCAAAGGAACCTGATCCTACATAATCTCATTTTTTATCGAACCACCGAATTCCCCTCATTATATTAATCTTATTCTAATAACATACTTTGTTTATGTAACCACTTATTTTTATCACAAGCATCATTATTTAAAATTTACAACTTATCTTAATTTAATATACATGAATAAACCTAATGTTTAAATATAAGTTAAGGGGAATATTATCAGAAGTACTCAATTAGTTACTTTTAAAATATCTTCATTTCTCGATAAAAATAACGGTTAAAAGAAAAATAGAGTATGAATCTTCACAACCTTATACATGGGATGTACAGTGGGTTGATAAGATGAAATGTCCTGTTTGGTCAGTTCAAAGGAGTTGGCACTTTCATTTTTGTGACACGAAAAAATGGCTACTATCGTGAATATTCAAAAACATATAAACTACCTATATGGTTTTCACAACTAGATATTGTTTTTACTGACCATCCGATTGGGTACACACAGTGTAATAATTAATTCTTTATTTTATTTCGTTTTTATTATATGTGGATCCAGTGTTTTTTAAAATGATCAGCATCACTGACTGATATCATTTTGGGAGATATTAGGAAAACTGAGGATCACGGGAAAAACCGTCTTACTCTAGTCTGGGTCACATCTGAACTTCCATGACCCCCTTGTCTAACACATGACTAAACAATCAGAACTTTCATTTGCTTCAGTCTGCACAATATATAATTGCAATACTGAGTTAGTGCTGTTCGATTATGCGAATTTGCGATTTCAGTGAATTTGCAATGTAGAACCAACTAAATCTATTGTCGTTGGTGGTGATTAACCGTGCTTCATTACTGACTACGTAGACACTGTAGGTCCTGAATTTCCAGTGGTTATTTTTATGAATAAAGAATAAACTAATAAGAAGCATTAGAAAAATTTCAGTTAATTATATTTATCTACGACAAGTAAGTAGTATATGTGCACAGACGCACGATTTTTGAGTCTATTCGATTTACATTATTTCTATTTATTCAAGCTATTGAAAAACGAAACAGATCAAAAAATACTGGAAGTCAGTCAACTGGATTTTTACATAATAATCAAGTGAGTACTAGAAGTATTTAATTTAATTTTCTATAACTATTTTATCTTGTTTACACTCACCTCCACTATTCAAAGTGTTATTCACTAAAGAAATAGTAAAGTTGTGTTTTATTCAAAAACATAGTTTATTAATGTAGATGCTGAACAATTTTATTTTGGTATTTGAAATTGCTTTACAAACGTGCTCTGCATCGGATATAGTATGGTAATTAGATTTAGTTCCCTGCTTTTGTTGACAATAATTAACACCAGTCTATTTGTCACAGAAGCTCTTCTTGAATTTTTGTTTGCATGACAGTTCAAATAAATGTATGGAGCCGTGAATGAATCAGTTAGTTATTTTGTTATGTTACCATCGAGTCTGTAAATTAAATGCTGAGTTCTTATGGAAATTCTGACGAACTTTCCATGAAAAGTTAGTAAATCAATAATGACCACGCTCTATTTTTTTTAAGTCTGACACTCATTCTCTGATTATTTTTAGTCAGTGTTTTCCAACTTTTCCGATTTAACCAACGATGTCTGCCGATTCGATTGCAGTGATGACCGTCGATTTTCATTCGTTCAGCTTTTTACCAAAAACTGAATTACATAAAGACATTATGGTGCTTTGCCATATTTTTAAAAATGTGGCAGCATTTGAGTCATACAAATAGTATTTCGAAGATGTAAAGTGTAAAAATTAAAGTAACTACAATCTAAATTATCAAAATGCTTATATTTCCCTCTCTTATTGACTTGTGGAAGAAGGTAAAAGTACAATAGTTACAACGAGTGAGAATATTTTTAAAAACTCAAAGCAGACAGATAAATACAATTAGATCAAAAGTATAAATAATGAAAATGATTTTATTCATTAAAATAAACAGTTCAATAAATACCCTGTGTAATTCTTAAAGAAATAAATTTACTCTAAAATTTATGCCCATAACCTATACGCGCAAAAGCTCAGTTTTGTTTTACACAGTTGATATACATAAAGTTAATAAAAATATTTCAGTTTACCCGTCAACTTTTTTATTCTAAATTTAAAATGGTAGTTGTTAGCTTTTCCATTTATTTGTTAAATATTTTTTTGACTCTCTAGTTCTCTTGTTTTCATATGTAAGTAAATTTATATGTGAACGCTTAATTTAGTTAGAAAGATACGATCATCTACAGTCCTGAATATTAACAACGGGAAATTACAAAGCCTTTCTAATATCCCCATATCTAATGAACAAGTTAATGTGTATCTAGACCCATGTAGCTTAGTAAATAACGCATCAATGCGGGAAGAGCTGGGCACCAATTTACAATCTGAACACTGAAATGGAGGTAGATGCGGCTGACATATCTCTGAAAGGTCGAAACACACTCGCTGGTTTCCACTGTTGGCTAATGTACTAAACTAAGAAGTTGCTATCAATTTTTTGATCTTTCTTTTATCGAGTTAAAAAACATTATGAAGGTTGTTTTGAGCATGGACTGTTGGTGCCTGATGAAAAAGTATTGAAAACTATAAAGGTATGAGACAATTATTGGATACCAACTTTATTGTTGTGTGGCAAATATAGAAGAAATTCTAACTCTTGGGACTAATTTATGAATTACTATTATTCGTATTTTAATTACATAGTTAGTAGATAAGTGTATTATTGAATTAATATACTCTCCCTATCGTAAGCTTCCAGCAGACGTATTGACATTTGTTATACGATTTATTATTTCTTAATTATTATAAATTAATTATAAACCATGTGCATCGCTCTCTACAACTTATGGCATGATTGTAAAGTATGGTACGCTAGACACAATTCATCTAATGCATATTTGGAAACAATCTAGATATCAGCACACAGGATCTGAGAAAAAACAACGTAAAATAAAATTCCCCGATAGGCAATACAGGATGGATTAGTGTAAACTATTTTAGATACGGTTGGATGGAGGAATATGAGGAGTGTTCATTATAAAGCTGATATTCATCACGGATCAGTATCAACTATCTAACTGTTATAAACAAAAGACCATAACGAATATATATTTAGTTCGGATTTAAAGTTACACGCGAGTGTTCCCATAATCTTATAAAGTCCAGACTTCAATTTTATATGGATTCATAGGTGCATACTATTGTGTGGTCGTAGACTAATCGGAACAAAACTATCTGGTACTTCTAAAAAACTTATCTGGTCAAATACTTTTGTTACCATTTCATTTTTATTTATATTTCGATTAAGAAGTTAAACAGTAATCTTTGTAACTCAATTAGTTGCCTATACTGATTCTACGAAAGTGTATAAAAAGGTTTCACTATTGCTTTCATATCCTGATAACCAACCTATTGAACATGCTTTTGAAAGTTTCTTTTTTTCAAAGAAAACTTTTAATAAATTAGACTTTTTTTAAAGAAATATGGTCATCTATTTACTACTACGTATTTTTGTGTATCTATTTCAATCTTTAGCCTATAAAAACACAATTACTGGAATTGTCGTCAACAATCCGTTGGTGGAAGAATCAATGTATGAATTTAGAACAGGAGGTAAATCATTATGATTTCTGACTAATGTATTCATTTTTCTTTTTATTAAATCGGAATCTAAACATTTTGTTCATAGTGGGTTTCAATTAGTGCTTAGTACTTTTTTAATAAATCCGAAATAAAAAAAACACTGATTTGATAACTGTTCATGTTAAAGAGAAATTAACTTCATTTCTATTAAATTAAATCGTGGCTAATTTTACCGGTTATTGTGATATTTGACTATGAAATATTGAAGCAGTTGATACGAAATCAATTAACTAGCTAATAAAATAAATTTCATGTTAGACCGTTTGCGCATAGATATTTTACAGGGATTAATAGAAGCATTTTAAAGCCTGTCTTTTTTTATTTAAAGAAAACATTTTATTTAAGCTAAAAAGGTAAGTAGTTTTTTAAAAGTGCGGAAAATTTTGAGCAGTAGTATTGAAGTGTCCTTTCATGAAGTTCATATGCCACGACAGTTACTGATCACATTCTTTTTAAAATATTAACATCAAAAAATGAATCGTCTTCATTACATACATAGAAAGAATTTGATATTCAAAATGATTAAATCAGGTTAAGAAAAAAATAGATTTTTAAATTAAAATAACACATAAAAGTGAACAATATGGGTTCCATTTAGATCCTCATTAACTTTTACTCTTATAAACCGTAATATTTATATGCATATACGGAAATATTAAATAAATCAAGGAAGAGTACGTAGCCACCAACCAGAGTGAAATGCTTGGAAGTGAAGATTGAGAAGGTATAATTGATTAGATATAAACAGAAAGTAATTGTAGTAACAACAGAACTGAAAGTCGTGAGCATCTAAACGACAACTGAAGATGTGCAAATATTGTATTTAGTCCATAGTTTTTATATTTTTAACAAGACGCTCTGTAATTTTACGTAAACAATGATTTGATTATCACCAACAAGTCTTCGATCACTACACTACTTTCGGCGTATTATAGTAGGGAACAGATTAGCTAAGGAAATTGAAGGAAATATTTAACTGTAGTGTATACTTTTATTAGTCATGTATTATGTGATCTGATTTTTTTTGGCGACGATTCACACTATCGTTTTAGATTATTTTGTCACTGACTATTTTAAATTAAATTAACTCGTTGAAATCAGTCAACAGACGCGTCTTGACATACAGCCATTCTGTTTACCTGTAAAATAAATATCTATTATTCAAATTGTCAAAGATTAATTTCTCAAAACAGTCAATAAGGATGTACACTCATATGAAGATAACAAATATCTCTGAATATAATCAGTCACTATTACTGTCTTTAGATAAGAATGATTTAACGGTTCTGTTTGTAATAATAGTTAAAAATCTTGACCAATAGACTTCGTAATTAAATGATCCACGACAAATAGCGTAGTACTATTATGTTTAGTTAGTACTTAGCGTCAATAGTTACAATTTCAAATAGATTTCACTTGAGACTATTGATAATGGTGCTTTGCTTCACGAGTTAAATTTTGGTTCAAAAGAACATAGAGATAGTAGAAAATTAAAAGAGAGTAAAAGGTAGGTAACATGAAAAGTAAGTTACAAGGTGATAAATTGAGTATTTCATACACATTATGAATCCATTTTTATTCAAATGAATATACACATTGGAATAAAATGTTTTTGATTTCTTTTTTCCCTCATTTTCGACAGATTCGCCATCTGTTTGAATCGAATACTAAACATTGGTCAAGGTGCAAAGTTTTATCACATAAAAATTTCCTACTTTTGCAAGAAAATGATCTTTTAAAAAAAGAAATTTCTAATTTATGGTGTATTCGAGATAATCAACATGATGAACGCACTGATCCAATTTCTTGTACAAATAATTATGGACCACAAGGTAAACAATATAAAATATGCATTGAATGGTAATGTATCAAGAACGATCAGTAATAATATGAAGATTTTTTCATTGTTCATGATACTATAGTATCACAGATACTAACTTAGTGCATACTACGATAAGCGACTAGTCTTATTTGGTAGTTGATACTAAAAGACTAGCAATGATGCTACGATTTCCTATTAATTGGAAATATCGACTTTTTGATTTGACGTTTAGGGGTTTCAAGGATAACGTACTCACCATCAGAATTGAAGCTTCTGAGGATGAATACATACTGCTTAAACGTTTTAAACTGGGATTTGACAGTTCCGAAGTGCTATTGATTCATTTTATCTGACATTATTTGATGGGTAACACAGTTTCAAAGTTGAGCTTATCTATACAACTAAATAATGTGTTAACTTATGACTAACGTCTAAATAAATTTCCATAATTCCAAAGAAAAGGCTTAATCCAGCTGATTCAACATTATTAAAAATTAGTCAGGCATAACTAATCGGGCTGGATCACAGTCGTATTATTTCACGAATTCTTTGACTTTGGAAATATGGATCATTCAGTTTGCTACACAACATCCAAATATACTATGTTCACCATAACACGTGAATGTCTTGGCTTCGACCCAAAATGTATTTAAAGGTACAGGATGCCAACGAATCTCACGCTAAGATGAAACAACTCTCTAGTGCTTCACAGTTTTGAAAGTTTCTACATCCAAGGGTGTCCCACAGAAAAGAAGTTCAAGTATAGAGTCTATATTACTATCCGCGATTGTTGTATAAAAAAGAAAACTCATGGTTTTATAAATGGTCGGTTTATTGATTATTTTCATGTTTCAAGCTTTTATAAATCAAGGTATTTGAGAGCTGTTGCATTCAAGCTGCTTAAATTCTGATGAAAAACTGAAAAATCATTCTACTTAAGCTCATAGAATAACCACCTTTTAGTAGTAATATCAATCGACGACTAAATGCATCCTTAGACAGGGCTCTGTATATATTCGGCGGATTTTTTCAACTTATTTTTTTCACATTATGCCTAACAGATATTATCAAACATGAATTACACTTATCACTTGTTGGTAGTTTTTTTTCTTGCACAACATTGAGATTCTTTTTGGTCATTAATAAATTGACAGCCTAATGAAAGATGTTCAATTCATATTTGTGGCCAAAGTTGATTTATAATTGCTACAGTGTACTGATCTAACTAATATTTTGTAAATCTGTTCAAAGTAGCAATATACAACTGGAATGCAGAAATAATAAAGTATTTCAGATATTTTTATTCAATTAGTAAAACGTTCCGTCTATTTTATACATATCCATACATGAATAATTGCGGTTTCCTATTTACTACCGAATTATTCGTTACTTCTCTGATATTTGATGAAGAAAAATGCTTTCTGTTTTTTCTGTCACAATAGATTGGTGCATGGTAGTTTAATCGATCCTAATTATGATTATTGGTCATATTGCGTATAGTGTAAAAACGACAGTAACATATTATACCTAACTGTCTGTATCACTAATGACCTTCATAGGATTTATTTATGTTGAAAACCAGTTTTTTCTACTACTTTCCTAGCTTATATTTTTGTTCAGAGGGAGAGATACGAATGCACTTTGTTTTCTGTGAAATATACATTTTAGAATAATGTTTGATTCAACTAGTTTTGTGTTGTAGGAAGTCATCGATCGTTTGAAGATGGTATTAGTTAGAAAACTGTTAGGCGAGTGAAATTAAATGACTAACTATACATAGACATTCTGTCGTTTTATAGAATTTTCTGATCATTTGTGAGAGTATTTTACTTGACTTCGGTTAACACTCATGAGTTATTTTAGATAACAACAACTATGGATCAGCAAGGATATTTCGTTATGCAACCATTTAAAATCTCAGGGCTATAGTCTTTTGGCACTATCCTCGGTGATGTTTCAGAACGTAATTTTAAATATGATATTTATTTGCTAAATTTTAACTAAGTAATTCGATTTTATTAGTCTTTTACTACAACATATTGATGTATATTCATGTTAAAAATGTTTCATCAACCCAATTCTTATAATTAGGTTGAAATTTACCTTAAGTCCTGATTTCAAAGTATTACTGATTATATGCATCTAATGAGAATCAGATGAAATGAGAAAATAATTCCGTGTTATTCTTGTTTACTTTTCAAGATAACGAAATGAACGTGAGCACTGTTGTAGTTCAGAGGTCAATCTTCTCCGAATTCTTATTTTGATGGAGAAAACAGCTCTTATTTTTTGGTCTATATTATTATCTTTTAAAAAATAACCAAATTATTGGTTCCTAATCGTTGTAATACTGATATCGATTCGAAATGAAATCAATCCTAACACTATAATGTAAATTCTTGTTACATGCATCAGTGTTGTGAGATTTTTATTGTCTACATTGTATTTAAATCGTGGCTAACAGTGGTATCTCATTTGCGATTAGTAAACTAGATGTATCCAAAACTAATTGCTGATTTTCATAATAAAAGTCACACTATGTACCTATGATTTCAAACGTCAACGACCGACCGATTGCATTCTGCATTTTTAACAACTGGAGATTTGATAAATGTCTACAAATTTTTAGTCTGCTTTTGAAAACACTTATATCATTCATATCAATAAATTGTTAAAACATCGTATTTATAATGTTTATTCTTTCAGTAGAAATATGTTCAAATGATTAAACTGACTATAACAATGACGGTTTTCAAGGCTAACATTTATCACCGAATATATTTATAAGATTGATTAAAAACTAAAATGTTGAACTACTCAATTGTTGAGTAGAATTTACCCATTTCAGTTTTTTTAAATGTGTTGTCCTAGTTAGTACAAAATAATCAATTTATTCACTGTTGATTATAATGGTTATTGATATAAAATAATTATGGAAGTTTATTCTATAAGTCTTAGTGATAATTTGCGAATATGCTTTTGGGAATTTAAAAGGTTTCATATCGATAAATGTATATCATCGCATTATATATATATACTTGTGATTACGTAATGGTTGTTGTCATATGCACTCATTTTTGTGTTAATCGAATTGGAATTGGTCGATTTACAATGTTCTTTTTCTAGTTATAGTGACTTATTGTTGAGTGCAGTAAGTTTTCAGAGTTAGTTTATCTTCCGAGTATATATATAATAGTATAACATATTACACGTAATTTATTGATTTGTACTTTGAATGTTTACTATTTCTTCTTATTTGTTTCATTTCTATTCATTTTAGTATCAAATGAAAACATCGAGTGTGATACATGCAAACAAAATGTTAGTAATATTTCTTTACTTGTTTACGTTGTTATAAATACGTGTTTTTCTCGTGAAGTATGAAATTATTTAAATAATATAACTTCTAACTATAAATTGTTAGGGGAATGATTCAGAGCCAAGAGGAACACTGAACAACGTTTTTCATTTACATTGAATGTATACGATTGAGAAATTACAAACTAGATGTTGTTCATTCGTTCTTCAAGCAAGCTTAGTTTTTAGTAGAGGGGTAATTACAAAAATGTACAAATATATTATCAGAAAACTATCCAGCATATAATTTTATGGGTATCGTTTTTTGATTACTCTGAAGAAATGACTTATATTAAGTCAAGAAACGTCAGAAATACAATTTTATACTCATTAGGATATAGCAAAATCTATATTTATTATTCAGCGTATAGCTTGATAGATTGATTACTTATTAGGTAACATAAATAATTTGTGAGTGAATTGTTGATTAATTTAAAAATTTTATTTTTGCCCATTGAATTACAATTTATATTTTTTATCTAACTGTCGCAATAAAGTCATAATCTCGCGATCACATTAATACCTGTCATCATAACAAATTAGTCTTGGAGTTAGGTAAAACGTTTACACCCAGCTAATGAATTAGACTAGTTGATGCTTAATTTGCTTAGTTTATTCAGTGATGAAATTTCTGAATAAATCAGAGTTAATGTTAACAACTTGCACTGATTAGCATGAAGTAAATGTTCACACACACACACACACATAACAGGTTTTATACAGCTTGTACAACGTATTTTTAACTTATCGTTTTCAGTAAAAATGAAATATTAAGATAAATAATTTAGCCAGTTCTCCTTCAACTTTCTTACATGATGCATAATAAAACGAGAAAAACAGATTTAATCATACTTAATTTCAATATTATTGGTTAATAACATTAATTTTATATTGAATTTTAATGGTGAAAATTTCTACACATTTCCTTAATTTCATAGCAGGAATAATTGTTTATCGGTTATCAGTAAGAACAAAACTTGGTAGTGAAAATCTATAACTCTTTCCTTTTCATATTTTAAAAAACACATTTTATCAAGTATTTCAAGACAATACAAGGTTCATTTTAATGCTAGTTTGTTATACATTTAGATTTTGCAAAACAATTTTTTTTATTTCAATATTATAATCACAAAGGTACATTTGGTATTGTAATACCTGCGACTTAAGGCAATATTGAGGCAATCCGTACAGGATTCATATATGCCAATAAGAGAATGATCAATTACAGGCCTGAACATCAATGGAAAGATTCAAACAAACAACACAAAATGAATTTAAACTTCCCCGCATTGCACAAGTGTCTATCATGACTCAGTAGCTAAGTGGATAACACGATGATGTTTGAAGCGAATGGTAATGGATTTGAGTCCCGGAGTGAATATCAACTGTGTGATGCAGGTACTTCTAACTGACAAGTCCCAAATAAGGCTAAACACAAGTCTTTGATTCCACTGCTAAACACGATCCATCTTAGCTCATAATCATAAAAATAGTTGTAAACTGTGCAATAGTGAAAAGTATTCCTACTAACTGACGGTCACTTATGAGCCCTTTCGCTATCGAAATGGAGAATTATGATTTCAAAAACAAAATTCTATACATTATGAAAAGTGAAGTATTTGATCGATCAGGAGTACATTACAATTGGTTTCCTGACCTATTTTACAAGTCATTGTCATATGAAATTCTGGTTGTTTTTAAAAGTAACAAAAAAGTGTCTCGAATAGAAATAAGATTCCAGAAGTTCTTGTCTACTTACTGCTTGATCTAACTGAAGATTATATTCATGAGTTAGATTGATCAAATTTAAGTAATCGGTTAACTTTCTAGTACAAATCCATGCAAATTTAATAAGAACTAATTTTCAGTATTTACATAAAAGATAAAATCTTTTAACGTTTTTGAATTTTTAAAGAAATTTTTGTTGCTAAAGGAGCAACTTCTACTCATTGGTTAGTAAGTGTTTCTGAACATTTGTTATCTTTCATATTAGTTAATTTTTGTATTTCAGTAATACATTTGAGTTTTTATCAGAACATTAGTGTTTATTCTATGTCCTAATTAACCAACGTGATAGATTAAGTTTACCCAGAAACACTTTCTTACAAAACGTTTTGTTAATTATATTCATTTGATAATGATAACTAGAATCTTGTTCAATAGGCAATGAACTGCGGTTTCAGTAAATTCTGTTGATGATGATGTTGATGATACTTAAATGTCAGCTCGTTAAATTTCTTCTAGTTATAAACACTGTGATTGTAAAATTATTTTGATTTAAAAAAAACTATATTAGTAATATCAACTATTTTCAAAAACTTCTTTTTGTTTTCTAGATTGAAGATAGAGAAACATCAATCGAGGATTTATTATTACAATTATCTGAAAGAGATTGTCAGCTAGATTTATTACAGCGTCGTTTATCTTTTATGATACACGAACGTAGTGTACTTTGTCATCAATTAGAAGAAATGAGTATAGGAAAAGATAAATCTGAACATAAAGTAGGTTCATTAATACATGTATATTCGTATGAGTATTCAGTTAAATAAATTAACTATATTTTGTTTATTTATTCACTACTTACCAAACTATCACTTCAACAAACTGACATAATTAACAATTGCAAAGTAGACTACTTATATTCATGAAATTCAAATTAAATTTATCGTCTATTTTAATAGATAATTGGTTTGTTTAGACATCTATTATCACTATTTTAGTTCAGTTTGAGAACCGTTGATAACCCTGGAGGATTAACTCATTCCAACATGAACAAATTTTCACGAACCACACATTTAAATAATAATAATAATGATAACATATGGGCTTTTAAAAGTATTCCCGACATTCTAGTGTCTTTCATATTTGAAACAAGCCATACGGAGATTCAGACAGTTGTCAGTGACTCCACTGAACTATGGCAACCCTACACTTCAAATCATCAAAAGTCGAGAAATAGTACCCTTGAATTCCGGTTCACCAGTCTAAAGATATTGTGATCATTGCAAGATAAAAAATATCTTTGTTTCGGCCTTGTATTTATCATGAGCGTACTCTTCTGTCATCTAATCTATTCAACTTTTAATAGAGAATATAATTAGAATGAAGGAGGGAGAAAATATTCACCAACTGGGTGTAACACATGGACAATAAGGTGACAAAATATTGAGGATTTAATGGGTGGTAATTATGATAAATAAGTAAATAAAATTTCACTAATGTAAGTAATTAAAGTTTTGACCATTGGTTTGCGTAATAAGATTTCAACATTGATTGAAAAGGGAGTTAACGGTATTGACTATAAAAGCTCAGATTAGTTTGCTGGACGAAATGCTTAAACCATTTTAACTTTGGTCATTAAGGTTATTTCAAATATAATTTTCATATGTAATGTTTTCTGCATTCCTGGCACCTGAATTTCGTCAAATTGTTTTTTTTAATTTGACAAATATTCATATCTATCCATATGCTTTTGTTTTAGTGTTAATTTAGCCTTTTATTTAATTGGTGAACAAGTCTATTAATTAACTATGAAGCTGTGGAAAAAACAGTCATATAGGTAGTATGTATGAGACAATTCAAGGTGTTTAATTAGTTACAATTTACTTACGCCTGTTACTCCTCAGGAAGGAGCATAGGCCGCTCAACAGCATTCTCCATCCAACCCTGTCCTGGGCAATCCTTTCCAGCTCCTTACAGTTGTTGTTCATCCTTTCCATATCTACTTCTATTATCCGACGTAATGTGTTCTTAGGCCTTCCTCTTTTCCGCTTCCCTTCAGGATTCCAAGTTAGAGCTTGTCTCGTTTGCAGTTTGATGATTTGCGTAATGTATGTCCTATCCATTTCCATCGTCTTTTCTTAATTTCCTCTTCAGCTGGAAGTTGGTTTGTTCTCTCCCACAGAAGGCTATTGCTGATGATATCCGGCAAATGGATGTTGAGTATCTTGCGTAGACAGCTATTTATAAATGCTTGTACCTTCTTGATGGTGGTTGTTGTAGTTCTCCAAGTTTCAGCTCCATACAGTAGAACTGCCTTGACGTTGGTATTGAAGATTCTCACTTTGATATTGGTTGAAAGTTGTTTTGAGTTCCATATCTTCTTTAACTGTAGGAATGCTGTCCTTGCTTTGCCAATCCTTGTCTTTACGTCTGCATCTGAGCCTCCTTGTTCATCGATGATGCTTCCCAGGTATATGAAGGATTCTACATCTTCCAGAGTTTCGCCATCAAGAGTGATTGGATTGTTGTTTTCCGCTTTGAATTTGAGGACCTTGGTTTTCCCTTTGTGTATGCTGAGGCCTACTGATGCAGAGACTGCTGCTACACTGGCTGTCTTCATCTGCATTTGTTCGTGTGTATGTGATAGGAGGGCTAGGTCTTCTGCGAAGTCCAAATCGTCTAATTGATTTTGAGCTGTCCATTGTATTCCGTGTTTTCCTTCAGATGGTTTTTAATCATCAGACTATTTAACAAGCGACTTGTTTTGGGTTAACTTTCGGATAGGTTCATTACAGAAAGATTCGTCTAAACGCAGTAAGACTTTAAAATAATGATATCAGTCAGTCAGTAACAACGTAGAACATCGCACGTACGTACATCAGTTTCCATATCACATTAGCACACAAATACAATTGTCGATTCAAATCCCGTAGTGGTAGAGGTAGTAAGAGTATAAGCAGTATTCGGTAAGATTAGGGTTTGAAGATGTTATTCAGGGAGTGTAACCAAGTGAAATAAATTTGGAAAGAGGAAAAAAGAGGCATGAAGAATTCAGAAGGTTAGAATTTGGGAGAACACAAAGTGTGAATGCACCTGCGCCATTGCAAACGATTTTGAGCCATGTCATTCAAGGTCTCTAACCATCGGTTGCTATCGTCTGGGAATCCAAGCCAGGTAGTCTACACCTACCAACATGGCTCAGTCCACTTGTCAGTGACTTCATGGACTTGTGCCATGTTGTGGTTTGGTCGCCTCTAGCTTTCTCCCGACCCAACATCCCATGTCGAGGCAGTCGGTGGTTGGGCATACGTAGCACGTGTCCCGGCCATCTCAATTAATGAAGTTTCACTGCTTCATCAATTGATTTGCCACCCTTACCTAGTACCCGTTTACTAACAACCGCATTACTTTCTCGGTAGTCCCAGGATAAACGAGAAATGTTTCGAAAGCACCTATTATCGAATACACTGCCATAAAATAGGACGGAATGAACTGCTGCACAGTAAAAACGTCCTTTGGTTGATAGACGGGTATCTCGCTTACGCCATAAATTACGCAAGTCGGCAAAGGCTAGTCGAGTCTTATGTATCCGTGTTGAGATTCCGTCACAAACCAAACCACGAGGGCTGATGAGACTTTCAAGATAAGTGAGGCGGTCAACAAGCTCAACTATTTCACTCCCTATTATTAATTCGGGTATCGATGCAACTCAGTCCTGAAGCAACATTTTGCATTTCGAAGGAGAGGACCGCATCCTGAACATGCCTGCATTGTTGCTTAGAGCGGTCAGAAGACTCTGCATTTTGTCAGCGTCTTCGCCAAATAAAACTATGTCATCACCATATTCTAAGTCAACAAGTGAATCTCCTAGTAGAAGTTCAACCCCTGGAAATTTAAATGAGGAAAACGTTATCTCTAAAAGCACGTCAACAACAAAGTTAAGCAAGAATGGAGAGAGTGGACAGCCCTGACGAACACCTGAGTGGATCTCATAGTGTTGTGGCTCAAAGAACAGATAATAGTGAACGTCCGTTGCAGCTATGCTCAGATAACCGCATCTTTCTTGCAAATACTAACTTTAAGCATAAGGAAAAGCATCTTCTGACATGGAGACCCCCTAATTCGTCCCAACGTTGGACCCAAATAGATCACATCGCTACCAGCCACCGATATAGGTTCTCCATAGAAGACTCTCGCTCATTGTGGAGCAAATGCTTAGATTCAGATCATGCTCTAGTGCGAGACCTGCTTAATGATAGTCAAGCTAAGAGCGTGTTTCAGGGACAACTAGAAAAACAGTTAATCAGTCATCTATGTGGTGCCCACCACGAGGCAGCATGGAATGACATCCGAAAAGCTGTGGAAACAGCAGTGATGTCTGCCAGTCCGGTAAACCACAAGGTTAGTGAGAAACACTGGATCTCAGCAGCATCTACCGCAATGATAGATGCTCAAAAACTCATTCCATCTGGCTCTGAACATAACGAAGAACGGGGTCAGCTTTAGCGCAAACTGACAAAAAGCCTACGCAATGATCGCGAACAGTGGTGGGTAGCGAAAGCAAGAGAGATGGAAAAGGCAGCGGTAATAGGTAATAGCAGACAATTGTTCAGACTTGTTAAGGAAACCGGTATTAGGAACCCAACTGTTAGCGAAACAATCTCAGAGAAAGATGGACATATTATACATTCTCAATCTAGGAGATTGGATCGATGGGCAGAACACTTTAGGGATCAGTTCAACTGGCCTTCAGCCACACTTCGATTTCCCACGATCTTCAGTCAACCTGAGTGGCAAGTTAATGTAGGTCCTACAACTCTTTACGAAGTTGAAAAAGCTATAGGATATCTGAAGCGAGGGAGAGCAGCAGGCCCTGACAGGTTTACCCCTGAGATTTTTAAGGATAGTGGTTCAGTATTAGCAGTGAGATTAACTGAGGTCTTTGGTAGAATCTGGGAACTGGACGTAATTCCATCTGACTGGCTCTCTACTCGAACACAACTGGTCTAGTGAGAGCTTACTCAGAACAACAATGAAAACTTTACACTGAAATCATGCAGCTCATAAAGTACACCCTCATCAAACAGGTACAAGAACCGTGCACTGTTTACACCAACTAAGGGTACTTCGTAAGTTAACTAATCGTTGCACGTCAGAAAATATAACTTTTGTAATTCGGAAATGTTTTACTATTTTTGTTAAACAGTATCTGTTCAACAGATCTGCCATTTTCTGGTCTTTTTTGAAAACCCATTTTTTGATAGAAACCCTAAATAGCCAGTAAATCAGTACTATATAAAAATAGACAGTTGCTCTTGAAAATTCCACCACGGATTGTTTTGCCTTTTTTTAATCTAACAATGAATATACATTACATTATCCAATATATAAGTGTAATATGAAACATGTACCAGCTACTCTACTCCATGTCAGTTTTTATGATACATTCTACCTATCTGATAATACGTGATTTTATCGTACCAATATATTTTTTTACTTGTACGCAAGTAAGTGTCATAAATGAGCTAAGACATATAGATATTTATTCTGCTTTTTATGACTAAAGTATTAGCTTTCGGACACAATCGAATATAGCCTTAGTACTAAAATGGTGTCCGAAAATTGGAACATGTAAATGAACCAAAATTAATAATATGAAAAGAGAGAAACTGATTTATTTGCATCTTTAGTGTGTCTATCATAAGCAAACGCGATGTAATATAGCATGATGTGTACTTCAAAATTATTGGTTATTATTCTTACTAATTTTCATTGTTTTCTTGCTAATAACATTAGAAGTTAGTACTAAATAATAATAATAATATTAATAATAATAATAATTAGAAATTCTGTGTTATATATATATATATATATATATATGGTTTATATTCTGTCTAGCCTGTCATATAAGACTAATTAAATAACTGTAATTTCTTGAAACAGGGATTCACAGAACAGATGAAAATTTCAAGTAAAAGCATTCGGATTTAAGAAGTCAGGTAATTGACTGCATAGAAAAAGAATTTTTTTAAAAATTTGGATGCTAGAATACGGAGCTTGTTGAAATTGTTCATCTCGAGGTTAATTTTCATTATAATGGGTTCACAACTAAACATGTATATGCTAACCAGATGATAGCGAACGGCTATTTTGTTTTAGTTTAAATCTGTTTTGTAATGGATATATATTTAGGATCCTAAATGAGATGAAACCGATAATAGTTAGTTGATTTAATCTTGTATTTATACATCCCAGTATCTTTATGATTTGTGAAAGTAAAATGTTATGAAACACATGTAACTGTATTATATCAATGTAAATCACTTTTGATAAAACTAATCCTGTTAAGATATTAATTAAATAATTCTGAAGAGTTTGTCATATGCTTCGTCTTATGTAATACGACATAAAACCGTTTTAAATAACCGATTAGTTTATTTTTATTTCAGAATAAAGATTTCATTCGTTTTGTGGAAGGATAATACCTTAATATCTAAACAGTTGATTTACTAACCAAGAATATTCTGTGGTGGTCGATATTCAGTGTAATCCTTAAACTTCGTATACTATTCGTCCTGATAACCGTCATTAGATAACGTCCTAACGGTGTATTAATCAGAAGGCGAATCCGTAGTGTTGACTAAGTTTATTATCACACCACACACAGATCACCAAAATTACAGGTACGCTAAGCGAGCATGAAAGAGTAGTGTCGGAAAGCAAGAGGGCAAGCGAGTGAACGTGAGAGTCGAATGAGTGAGCAAGTGAACAGGATTAAAATGTACATGTATACACATAGTGACATGAATGAATCATCGAATCAATTAAGCTACTAATAGTAAAGCTAGCACAATGAATATATGCGTAGGCTGTAAGCAATGCTCAAACATACATATTCATACAAGTGCAACAATAATTAAGGTATAATGACTTAAGTTTTATTTGTACGAATGACTCTGTCCGTTAAATGAGTTAACAAAAGTGCTTAACCATATTAAATGTGAACAAACTCAATTGCATGTGAGCTGCTATAATTCTTTGTAAAATATTTTTACAAGTCAAATTACTTGAACTAATTTTACTAATAAATAAAGTAGAGAGAAATTTCGGTCTTTTCTCCCAAATCACAAAAAATGTTCTACCTAAACACAATGTAATCATTAAATGACCTTATTCAACACTCAATATACCTGCTGGCTTCATATAAACTGATAAACTTGGGAATAAATAAAAATTACAACTGAACAATTTATTTTATTTACTTTCATGTAGGTAGACAACAACTAGTGAGGATCTTTAAGCAAAGATGGATAGTGGTCACCAGTGAAATCCAAGACGCGCGTTTCGTCCTATTTGAGACTCGTCACCCGAATGTACTTGGATCTCAGAGTTGATGTTCACTTTGGGACTCATGCAGGTACATGAGGTTGACGAGTCCCAAATAGGACGAAACGCGCGTCCTGGGTTTCACTGCTAGCCACTATCCATCTTTGCTTAAGAAGCTCGTGACTTAAGGCTATATCGAGGCAATTCGCACAGGATTCAAATACGCCAACATGAGACTGATCAATTGCAGTGGAAGATACAAGTAAAACAACACCAGGTGAATTTAATTAGTGAGGATGATATGAAATTAAATACTATTTCTAAAACATTTCTCACATATAATTAAAAAAATAGTATCATTTTGAATACTAACTGAAGTAACAATAATATTGCATTGATATCTGTTGTTTTATTAGAACACTATTCAAACCAGAATCGAATGTTTTTCACAGGTTTCATTGTTTAATTTTTTTCTGGTTAGCGTTTTTTTCGCGAGTTAGTTTTCTACGGGATGGCGTTGCTAACTTCATGTCCAACCCTCCTCCTTTATCCGGACTTGAGGTCGGCAGTAGCCCCAGAGGGGCTCCAATTGGAGTTAGTTTTCATTATATACTTCCATTAAATTTATACATCTTACATAGCATTGAAGTAACCGGCTAACTTCAATATTATCCAAATGAAAAACGATTGATAGAATTTCATTTATAATGCAAAAGGACGAATGTTGGTCTGTGTTGTTTTTCAAGTATTCCATCTAAAATCATGATCTTGTTGCCATTTTTCTTTTATGTTTAAACAGCATGTTATATAATGAATATTGTTAAATTTACCAATGTTACTTTCAAGATTATAGATATGTTATCAGTATAGAGACACTATATGACTTTGTAAATGACAAGACTTTGTTTCAATCAAAAGATAATTTGATTTTTATCAACCATTTAAATTGATCCCATTTAAATATCTCTTCTTGTTTTAGACATATCTTACTGCCAAGAATATAAGAACGCATTTCATAGAAAATAATGAAACATTAAAAGATGATTATTCAAAATACTCTTATAGGTAAGATGATATTATTAATTCACTTAATATTACAATGCCAATCATACGAATGATTTGCATGATGTAATAAGGTTCTTCTAACAACATGAGTGAATTTTAGAATTCCCCATTAATTTTGAGGTAGTCATCATAACTTTTTACAATATATTATATTGTGAATTTATTAGTCGGAACTATTCTGAATTCACTCAGTGTGTTTCTATTACTGGTGTTTATTTAGTGAGGTTCTATACATCAACTGAACACAAATGTTAATGTACAGTAAGAGATTTTAATAATTTTTCAGGCAAAGGAATTCATGATTCATAAAATCCAATTCGGTTGAGTTTATTTCTTATCAGTGAATACCATCATTTATATATAACACTTTTATGAACGTAATAGTAAAAGTTAATGATAATTTTATTTCTTCTAATTGAACTACTCAGTAACTGGCAACATAAATATTGAACATTAAAAAACGCGTATATAACGTCACATATAGAATCATATGACACTGATAAGGCTCTTCTAAACTCTTCATTTGAACGACAAATGAGAACATTGTAATAGTCAGAGAGGATAATATATTCGGTTTTGAGCAGATTTGGATTAGTGTGAGACTATTAAACGGGAAGGTTTCATTTGAGGGTTACCAAGAGAAGTCATATAAGTTTGACCATGCGCTTTCAACTAGTAAAGTCGATTATGATTAACAGTATTAGTATTGAATGTGTACGTATAAACCATGTTCTACATCCTATTTTCATAATTTCTACAGAACTGAATTAGATTCGAACTGCGAAACAGAATTCACCTCTGAGGTACCTAAAAGCGTCATCACAAATATATTAAATGATAAATTAGAAACAATATCACCATCTGATGAGTCCACATTTATGAGTAATAAAATTACTGAATTGCGAAGTGATGCGACTGATGGATCATGAATTCCACACATAAACACTTACACTTTTTGTATTGAGTAGAAAATTCAACATCCATGAAGTATGCAGAATCAATAACTCTTTTATGTTTCAAATATGTTCAAGTACTTTACATTGATGTGTGTATACAATGAGTCGTTGAAGAAATACAATATAACCTGTCTTATGAATACACAGATGCATTGAGAGAATTATCTAATACCATATATTTATATTTATGTGGATATATAATTCAAGCTTACAAAAATAAAGTTTTACCGATCTGAAAACCTACATATACCCCACAGACCAATATAATTTAAACTAGTATCATTCAGAAATTTGGGATTGAACTTTACGTCCATAATGTTTCTTGATACTTTTTAAATGTTTACCATTATGTAAAATACCTATTTTCTCTAGATTCATTTTTTCTAATTATCATGTTTCATATCGAAACTTGTTATCTTATTCACTCTATCAAAATTGGTGTTTCCAATAAAACAGGAATTATTCAGTGACTTTTCGTTATCATACATAGTTAATCCAAGAAAAAAACGAAATAACTTTATAGAAACGTTACTTTACAAACATTTGGGTGTATCACTAATGTTTCTTTCTCCTTTTAAAACGTGGGTAGTAAACCCAACAAAATAGATTCTGCAGCTGCCTTGTTATTTGATCTTAACTAGATATTTTGACATGATAGAGTATACAGATATTTTTTCAAAATCTAAAATCGATGTAGTAAATCGGCGATCAGAACGTACGAAAGACCACACGTTAAATGTTTTAACCAATTTAGTTGGACAGTTTCCCTAACCTTGGAGTCTTTACTGGAATGTTTGATGCATTTACTGTTTTCTTCAATGGATTATTTCCATCAAAATCGCCCTTAAAACCTCGTGATTTCTTCTAGAGCTTTAACAAAAAACTTTGTTGCAAAGTCCGCGCATTTATTGCCAAAACGTATATATATATATATATATATATATATATATATATATATATATATATATATATATATATATACAATTTATATTTATTGTTAACTTTCTACCCGATGTTCGATTTACTTGAAACTATCAAATTCAACCTTGGCACTGATACTTACAGACCATGTTTATTCATGAATCCATAATGTTTTGATAGTTGATCGAAATAAAATTCCAAATTAGTTAGATAAAGCAAAATAAAGTGTTTGGTAGTTACTTCAAGTACCATAACTATGAATTTATGTTATCAAACTGCAAAACAGCATTAGAAAAGAAATGTAAATCAGATAGTTCCGGTGAAACATTATTTAAAACGTGGAGCATGATGGGGAATACTTCATACTTAAACAAAGTTAGCTCAAGATGGGTTATAAGATTTATTTTGATAACTTTAATTCTTATTGATTACTTTCAGTAGTTTTATCACCATTATCAGAGTATTTGTTATGGAAGGTTAATTTGATAACTTCAATTTAGCCATTGTTAACTGCTTTGTTTTCTGGAAAAATCAGTAAACTAAAATTATTTTATTACTTCCTGAAGTAGTTTCCTCAAATTTTTTTGACAACTTTAATTTCTTTCTCCATACATATTTAGTGGGATTTTTGTAAGACTTTAAAAATTAGGTTTAAGTATAATTTGTGGACCAAATAACGTTATTTATTTATCAAGTAAAGATTTTATAAACTCGGCTTACAGACATACCTTTGTGTACGAGAGCTAGAGATATTATCCAGATATCCAAATCGAATTGTGAGGTGAGAACTTATGTGTTGAATGGTGGAAATAAAGTTATTTGAAAACTAAGAGTATGATTAAGAACTTCTGTCTAAATTTGATCGAATAGTTTCATAGTATTTGGGCGCCCAGTTTAATGTCCTCTTTAATGTATAAGAGTATGATGAACACCTATGCTGTCAACATGTACGTAGAAGGATAGGTATTGTTTCAAAAACAATAACACCGGTCTTTATGTTCAACACCTGTGTATAGCAGTAAATAATTATTTTTCAATGAAATTAAGATAGAAATATTCTTTCATACAAGGATGTCCACCGTGTAAAAAATAAAAAGGTTCACAGCTTCAACTTAATCCTATTCATGGTCATCATAATTCTTATTTTGAGCATTGAAGGATATGGCACGTATGACTCGATCTTTTAATAAAAATAGCATATGTAATCCCAGTAAAGGCCAGGTTTTGGTAAAGGATTATTAAACTGCGTCCTATTACAACAATTGACGCTAGTTTTAAAAACTACCGCCATACGAAAAAGTAGCAAGAGTATGATTAAAATTTTGCTTTTTCTACGGTAATGTATAGTTTTAATGGTTGAACTATTTATGCAGATCAAGTATTTTATCAAAGTAGATGGAGACTAGTAGATGTAAGCAGAATTTGCAAGAAACTTTAAATATTTCCAAGAATAATACTAAGCAATTATTAATTAAGTTGTACTGAGTCATAATCATTATTTCCTTGTAGACCAAAATCTGACTTAATGAAGACAGATGTAGATTATATCTTATTAAAATTACTTCCCATTTATGTTTGTAATGTGATACAGTAAGATTCCTTTCACAAAACAATGTCAAATAGTTCATAAGTTGATTGGATATCAATTTCTGTATAAAACACTGACAATTTTCAAGCTATAATTATTTCACTTTTGTGTTAAGTTACGTAGGTTCTGGTTCGACCTTAACCCAGAATAAAAATATCCAGTTAAATGTAATTAAAAGTGACCTATGTAAAGCCCCTTGAGAAATAGAAGCGGATAAACCAGTGCAACTGACAGAACTTAGAGCATTCTGGGCTTATTACTCTCTTTTTTGGTTGTTGACTGAATTATAGACCTCCACATCTCAGGAGAAGCACGGAATACAGAGGACACTTAGGGATATGTAGATGACTCAACCCTTCCATTGTATACACATGAACAAATGCAAATGAAGATATACAGTGTAGAATTAGCTTTAACATAAATAGGTTCCAAGATTGACAAAGGAAAAAGTGGGATCCTGAAGTAAAACAGCGAGCACCAACCAAATCACTCTTAATGGAGAAGCTGTGAAAGAAGTGGGAACTTTTACGTATCTGGGCAGTATCATCGACACACGAGGAGGGTTTGACGTAGATATGAAGGTATGAAATGGCGAAGCAAGAACAACACTGCTATAAGGTTAGGGTTATAAGTTCAACACTATCGTTTAAACAGTCCATTTGATAACAACTAGAAAGGATAGTGGAGGTGTAAATACCTCGTTGGGGGTATATGTCCCAAGACGGGTAATACGCTTAAGTTTATACTTCAGGTAGCATAAAGTTAGATCGACATCAGGTAGATGCACATGTACCGACTGACCACTTTTAAGAAAATTGATCAGGTTGCTTTTTCCTTAACTTATTCTGATTCCTTGTTGAGTGTAATAGTAAATTATTTCGACGAGTTAACAAATACTTGACTAATAGAGTAAGTGGTTTTTCTAAAGAGATTACTTTCGTAATAAATAGAAAGTTTTCCAAACGAATCATAATTTGTGCACGAAACATACTACTAATGCTAAGAAGTGTTCAATATCCAATTAGTGAACGTAATACGAAACGAAATCGAGTCAGGTGTATAAGTATATATACACGTGTTTGGTACGAACTAACAAAAAACCTAACAAAATGAGATGGATTCATGATATTTACTTCAAATTGTTGTTCTAGTTCCCTTGAAAATCAGGCTTCGTAGCAAAGAGGGAAGACAGTTAATAAAAATAGCAGAGATAAGATGTTTTTTTATTGTAGATCACATTATAAGCGATTGGAAATGGATGGACAGAAAAAGTGTTCCAAATAGTAATTACAATTCACACGTATTTCTTATTCAACGTTAAATCAAGATATAAACGGAAGTACATTACCTTCAAGTTACGTTCTCCAATTAATAAAATATGGATATTTTCAGGGACTCAATGAGTTCCTGAAGTATAGTGCGAAGCTCACGGAAGCGAAAACTAATTTGGATTTTATCCGTAATTGCACTGTT